CTGTCTCTTACAACTGTAAACCACTCTTCTGTTCCCCACCCATCGACTTTCTGTTACTTTGACGTTCCTTCCCTCTGTGAAGCCCGAAGTCAGCTAAAGGGCTAATGATAACTGTCAAAACGCCTGCCATTTGAAATATATATATAGATCGTTACTATCGTCGTTAACTTTCAGGTCACTGTAAAAACGAAAAATTCTCGATTAGTTAAGAAATTTCTCTTATTATTATCAAAAGCCATTCCCCAACAAAATTTGTGAAATTATACCAAAAAACACAGCCTCAAGATTTAAATATTGTCTCAAAGAAGGCAATTCATATCCTGCATGTGGTCTCCACGTTGACTGTCCGTCATGGTGATTAATGTACCAATGCCGCTTTTAATAACTTGACAAGACAAAATGTTAACAATCTAGTGGCCGTTTAAACTTCAGCCAATCATCTTGGGCATAGAACACTCAAGACTTACCCCAACAAATTTACTGTATAGTTGGTACTCTTGTGACTTCGGCTATTTTGCTCCAATGATCAAGATTTAAATAAGTCAATCAATTGTTGGCTCTACTTTTTCTGACATCATTATTTGAAAGTTGCTCATATGTCCTTCAATTTATAATAGTGTCCATATTTTTAATTTTATTTAAGGTCAATTTTTAGTAATTTTAATAGACAGAATTGAACTTGGTTATAAAATAGCCTTGATGAATGCTTTTTATGGTATTATTCCAATTCGTCTGTTTTCTGATTGACTCTGCCTGAGTGGGACAAATCTGCAAGATAGGATTCAGATTATTTAATTTCCGGCAAGAAAATACAGCTTTATTTCATTCTTTTCGTTTGAAAACGAAATGCACAAATCTTTTGCAGCTAAGATCAATTCAAATATTTAATCATCCTGCCAAAAAATCATATCCGCTCCAACAACTGGGAAAATTCGCTTCGTTTCCTCTCCAAATCATGACATGATCAAACAAGAGGACTTTGAGACAATTCATCCTCTAGATCTTAGCTATCTTTACTTCTATCTTCTTAATAGACCTAATTTATATCACAAAATACACGTCGAAAAGATTTTTATAAGATGAACCTCTAAGGAGGGATTGCGAATCCGGATTTTGATTAAATTGAAGTTTTTACGTTAAATTGATGAACACAAATAGTCATAGTTAATAATGATATTACGACACGATGCACCGGTAAAATTTCAATGCTTCATATTTCAAAAAGATATGCCCTTAAATATTTTTTGGAATAAAACTTGCTTCAAGGGATAGTAAAAAAACTTGCGATTGGGTAATTAGTAGACAATATATCCTAATGTTAGCCAATATGAAAATTCAGACAGCTGTTCTATTGTTGGTTTTATTGGCTTCCCTGATGTCCTGGTGTTATTGTTTTACTTGTGCAAAAACCTCTATATATTCGAGAAATGAAGTATTTTAGTGATTGATTTCTTTTAATCGGCATTTGCCGCCAGCATGGCGCGAAGTAGCCAGAAATCATATGGACTCATTAATATTAAACCCTGCAATTGCAATAATTTTAAAGGTGTTGGTTACGTTCGAGAATCTGGAAATGAGAACAACCAGCTAAAGCTTATTATAAAAATACGACGCTTCAAATTCTCCCTGGTTAATACTGAGTCACTGGTAGTATTTCTACGAAATTGCGTAGCAAACAATTTTGGATTACAGACGAATATGAACCTATGAATGTTTACGCAAAAGTGTATTCAACACTCGGAAGATCTTTATGTGTCGTAGTACCTCAGACTACTGAGTAATAGTGGACGCATAGCTAAGCCTGTTAGGAACCTGAATAAGTGTACATGCGTAGCATGACTGACTTCACTATTCGAAAGCTAGACCTTTTAAAACGCGTTTTACAAGTTTTATTCTGCATTTTCCTCCTTCGTTATGGTCGGTAGATTTTGAAGATTCCCAAAACCATTGAATTTGTTAACAAATTTTTCGTAAGTACTTCCAATTAAGGCTCGAGCAAAGATAATGGAAACACTTATTGAATCGGTCGCTCGATACAGTGCGTGATCATTTACCAGCCCCGCTGCTTACAAAAATGGGAAATATAAACTTTGTAACATGCCTACAATGACAATCACTTAATTTATAGACATACCTCCTTGGCGAAAATGAAATATTTGCAAAATTCTATTACGCGAAATTTGTTCCACAAAATCGGCACAAATATTTGCTTAAGATAACCTCAAGCAGTTGCTAACCAGGTGTTCAGTGAGGTAAAATCTGGTTGGAAACTCCAACTGAGAATTTTATTACTCTTAATACAGCCCAAATGACTGGAAGGCTTGCGTGGAAAACTTATAGGTATTGATTCTAGGTGACATTGACTCTATTATTGAAATTAAAATGAAATAGAAAGTGCGAATAGGCCATTACAAACCCAAAGTTGATCAACATAAATTTAAACTCTTGAGTATTTTTAGTCCTATTGCATTTGATTCATAACATAATGAAAGTTGCATAGATTGTTTATCAATGAGAAATATTTTCGAGTGAATTTCTCATGAATTCTTGCCCACTTTTTGTAAGTTATTGAAGTCGATGTTTGTGAATATCCATATGCACATGAGTCAAATGAAAAGAAGCTTTAATTTGTAAAGGTAATCTGAAAATACTTTCTTATTTGAACAGTCTGAGGTATGCTTCTTCTGTGAATTCAAGCAAACTTGCAGTACATTTCATCAAAATATGCAGAAGTTGTTTTTTTTCAGATTGGTTTCTCTTCAAATAATTATTTGTCTGGTTTTAGGTGATATTCATTTCTGAGGGAAACAATTTACCGATTTTCCGTTGAAGTCTTATTCCCATACTTCCAAAGAAATGAGTTCGATGAACTCAGTTAAACAAACGAGTAATCAAACGCTTAGTAGCTAGAGATCCATTGGTTATGGATTTAGTGACCACATCGAGCGACCTTATTATTTGTGAGTAGTAAAGAAATTGGCCTATGCGAATTGCTCCATCAGAGGATCTTGAGGCCCTCTAAACCAAAATGGGTGTTAGGGAAAGGTGGAAATCGTTTCCAGAATTCCCTTGACGTTTATTTAACAAGCCTGGTCATATTCTGTAGGTATTTATAGCAGTGACTTCAGTCAGTACCAACTATGGGAGTACACAAAGTTTGAGGTTAAAACGACTAGACCATACCTAACATATTGGAGTCTTATTGCAGGACGAAAATGAGATTGATTGAGTAGTACCAGACAATGAAAGTCTAAATCTGCAAAAAGATTCAGTTAATGAAAATTTCCTTAAGAGGATAATTTTTTCGATTCAAGATATTAATTTCGATCATGTCATTCTTGTCGATATACATATATATACATATATATATACGGCTGACCTACATAGAATCAATCTATATATGTTGTTTTTCAATTATATTTTATTGAATATAATTTCAATTCATTACTCCAGAAATTTTTCTTTGTTTATGCAAATAATAGATTGAAATATCTTAAAACTTTTATTTTATTTACTTTTGTTTGCCTAGTTTAAGACGTTACGTCGCGTTCCGTCTTGTATAAAAATACAGCTGTGAGCTATTTGTAGACTCTTTTCTTCTTAATATGAGTTACCTGCGTTCTCCCCGTTAGTTTTTTATTTTAATATTTATTACTCGAATGCATATACAAAAGATATTCACGTTGTTTACTTATGTTCTTCACTCATTTAATCCTACCCAGGTGTTTTCAAATGAATCGTGTATTTTCATTATTTTATTTCTAATCAGGTGTGTTTTCGATCACCTCATTTATTCCTAAGCGGTATCAGTCTGCTGCAGCAGCAGTGAAGTCATTGATTGAAAAAGAACTTGATGGCATTAAATCCGCTGGAACGTGGAAAAGGGAACGTGTTATTACTAGTCCACAGGCTTCCGATGTTTTAGTTGAGGGTACGGAAAGTGGCGTTATTAATTTTTGCGCGAATAATTATCTTGGTCTTTCAGTAAGTTTGCATTAGACAATTATTACATTTAGAACCATCCACGTGTTATTCAAAAATCCATTGATTGTCTTAAAACCCATGGGGCTGGTATGAGTTCCGTTCGATTTATTTGTGGTACTACGGATATCCACAAGAAGTTGGAAAGGCAAATCGCCGATTTCCATGGACGCGAGGACAGTATTCTCTTCCCAAGCTGCTTTGATGCAAACGCCGCTATCTTCGAAACTCTTCTCACTCCTGAAGATTGTGTGATCTCCGATGAACTTAATCATGCTTCCATCATTGATGGCATTCGTTTATGCCGAGCTAAGCGTCTTCGCTTTCTTCATGGTGATATGAAAGATCTTGAGCGTTGCCTTGAAGAAGCCAAAGACTGTCGTATTAAAATGATCGCTACCGATGGTGTATTCAGCATGGATGGCGATATCGCCAAGCTACCGTACGTTGTATTCAAATACTACTCATTTTTTTATCGTGTAGGGAAATCTTAGATTTAGCAGAGAAGCACAAAGCTATCACCTTTATTGATGAATGTCATGCTACAGGTTTCTTCGGAAAAACAGGTCGTGGTACAGAGGAGTATTTCGGCGTTCAAGGAAAGACTACAATCATAAATTCAACTTTGGGGAAGGCAATGGGAGGCGCCTCAGGAGGCTACACCACGGGGTCAAAGGAGCTCATTTCTCTACTTCGTCAGAGAGGCAGACCATATCTCTTTTCCAATAGTCTTCCTCCTGCTGTTGTTGGGGCCGCAACGGGAGCATTCGATCTCCTTATGGAGAGCTCAGAGCTTCCACAGAAACTCCATGCGAATATCAAACTCTTCAGGGATTCCATGACTCAGCTTGGTTTCACTCTCTCTGTAAGTTCAACTTTGAATTCATAATTTCTTTTTAGGGTGATCCTTGTCATCCAATTTGTCCAGTGATGCTTGGTGATGCTCGTTTGGCTGCTCAATTTGCCGATGAAATGCTCCGTATGTTCCTTTTCTTTAAGGGGATCCTAACTCAATATCCCTTAATCTCTTCTTCAATTTTCTCCTTTAGAACATGGAATCTACGTGATTGGTTTCAGCTACCCTGTTGTACCTAAGGGCAAGGCGCGTATACGTGTTCAGATTTCTGCTGCGCACAGTCAGGATCATATCAAAAAGGCCATTGAAGCTTTCAAAGATGTCGGTAGGAAACTCAATGTCATTCCCTAAGGGGAATCTTCTGATTTCGGAAAATCGTTGACTCTTTTCGTGCAGAGCACATTTGATTTATTATATTATTATTTAATGAAATGTGTGTAAATTACTGTCTCTTATTGGTGGTTGATTTCGTTCTCTTTTTTTTCATCGATATCATATCGTTATTATATAGGAGCGTCTTACTTGGTTGTAGATTGTCTCTGGGAGAAAATTTGCGCCAATTTTGATTTTCCGGAGTGAATATTTTCATTTGTTTATATTTTTTTAAAATAGTTCGGCCCGTTTACTTTTTTGCACGTCTAATTGCCATAAAAGGGATTTGCAGCTTTCTTTCAGAGTATATACTTAAACAGTAGTTATGCTATGTTATCTATTACCTTACAGCAATTGATCGGCATTTAAAGTTCGAACAAGCTTAAGTTGAGCAATTAATATCGTAAAAGAATTGATAAAATTAATCTATTTGGGCCTAAAATCGATCAATTTAAGTTCTTAAAGGAGGAAGAGATTTCCCTGAAATCAAGTATACGTCTTGAACCTAATTAATAGCTCATTGATTTGTCTTAGAACTTCCATGTTCAGAAAAATCCTTGGTTAAAAGTACAATAATATTAAAGCCTAGTAGTAGCATTGTGGTCAGTGTTGATGATGTTGGAA